GAGCAGGTGTCAGGATCTGTTTTTACACAAAAAGAAGTTGGGGGGCTAAATCTTCCCCCTCTGCAATTTTGCTCTGCTCATTGTGCAGCCTGGGATTGACATACCTTAGGGACTCCCTCTCCCCTTACACGCCCCGAGCCTTGCGCTCTGCAGAGCAAGTTCTGTTGGTTGTCCCTGGCCCAAGGGACGTCGATTTAGCCTTGACCAGGACCAGTCCCCTTTTCTGCCCTGGCCTCAGCCTGGTAGAACATGCTCCCGCATGAGATCAGGGCCCTGCGGGACCTTTTATCGTTCTGCAGGGCCTGTAAAATGGAGCTGTTGTGCCAGCCCTTTGGTTGAGGTGGTGAGTGTCCAGGGGGAAAAAAGATGACCCTCCCACTGAAGACACCATCTGTGTGCAGCCCAGATTAAATGAATCCTAGAGCCCAGTGGCATCAGTATTGACTCAGTTTTTAAATGCTTGTTTTAATGTTTTAATTATTTATTCTTGTGTTGTGTGACCAAACGGTCCAATTGTTGTTTGTGATCTGCCCTGAGCCCATTTGCAGAGATGGCGGAATATAAATTTGAAAAATAAAATAATAAATAAATAAATTATACATTTCCCAGCCCCAGGTTGGGAAATACCTAGACATTAGAGGAGGGATAAGAAGTACTGTATATGTAGGGAGACAGTGCTTTATGTCCTTCCAAGTTTAAAGGAGACACCATGGGGAACCATACCTATTCCATTCACATACAGAGCAGGGGTCAGGATCTGTTTTTACACAAAAAGAAGTTGGGGGCTAACTCTTCCCCCTCTGCCATTTTGTTCTGCTCATTGTGCACCCTGGGACTGACATACCTTAGGGACCGCCTCTCCCCATACACGCCTTGCGCTCTGCAGAGCAAGTTCTGTTGGTTGTCCCTGTTTTTTATTTCCCCCTACACGCTTCATATGGGAATGGGGCTGACAAATAAAGACATACATGTGGTTAGCCCATCACATCTATTTTGACCCCTGGTAATCCCTAACAAAAAATAATAATAATCCTGTATGGTTGGCCCGAGGCAGGGATGCCAACCTCCTCACCCATGTATTTCTGTCTAAATAAAAAACAAATTTCCCCCTACACGCTTCATATGGGAATGGGCCTGACAAATAACATCTATTTTCACCCCTGGTAATCCTTACAAAATAATAATAATAATCCTGTATGGTAGGCCCATGGCAGGGATGCCAATCTCCAGGTGGGACCCGGGGATCCCCTGGAATTACAGCTCATCTTTAGACTACAGAGATCAGATCCCATGGAGAAAATTATGCTTTGGAGGGCGGACGGGCATTGTACTCCACTGAGGTCCCTGTCCTCCCCAGGCTCCACCCACAAATCTCCAGGAGTTCCCCAACCTGGATCTGCCAACCCCTACACCCATCCCCCACTGGTGGCAACTCTAGCCTGTGGTACTTTCTCAAAACAATTTGCCTAAGGCCACCAAATGAGCTCAGAGCTGAACTGAGAATTCCAGGCTCAGTGCTTATGCACCTAATGACCACATGATCTCCAGTCCCCAAAAAGGAAACCGTGACTTCATTAAGCCTGGTATGGCCTGCTAAAAATAATCCCAGGGTTTCAGCCTACAAAAACCCACAACCTTCCCATCCCTGTAGCTCTTCAAGGAATTTTGAAATTCACTTCAGTTTCTTCCCGTGTCACCAAGTGCGGTGCCTTTGAGCTTGTACAGATGACGGAAATCTGTACTCTTACTCCATTTTGGAAATGAAAAGAAGTTTTACACTTCACACCAGAGAAAGATCAGCTGCAACCTTTTCCATTTTCTAAAGTGATGGGGGCAGTCGCCCACCAGCTCTGTACTCCGTACCTGAGGAAACCCAGCTGTGGACTTTTCCATTTTGGGGGAGAAGGGAGAAAGACCTGGTAATGAAAGGAGATGTCACTTTGGAGCTTGTGAGGCCAGGAACAGCAACAGGGCCAAAGACAAGCAGGGCTCTGGTCAGTGCCATTGCAGCATACCTGTATGGAAGAGACCATGATCTGAAACAGAGGAAGGCAAAACATGGTTGTGACAGAAAAACTTGATACAAAACTAGACTTTTGTCTTTGGATGAGAAAAAACCCTGGATGACAAAGAGGAGCCCAGTCCTCGATAATATTTACGTAGATTCCACTCTGAGAGCAGTTGGAGTTTTGCATTCTCTGGCAGTTAAGAGAAAATGGTTGGCAGAACTGCCTTATGGGCTGAGGAGACAGAGCGGCTTTAGGCCTGGATTTACCAGGACTTCACCCCAGTACCCCCCAAGAAGGACTCAGACTCAGGATATGTGAACTAATAATGACAACTGTGACTCTAGGCGTAAGCAGAGTGCCTTCTTTCATCCATTGAATAATCACAGCCCGGTGGTCTCAGAAAGTGACACACCTTTCAAGTCCTTTTGGGCTGCGGGCGCCAGTTACCGTAAAACCATCTCCTGCCCCTTTGAACTCATACTTGGGTAGCTGACCCTCTGCTCACAGCGAAGTTCAACTGCAGTAAGCAGGGAAATTACATTGGCCATGAAACTCGCATGGCCCAGACACTCACATTCGGAGAGAGGGATCGTCATGTGCCCCCATCTTGAGATAGACCCTGATTTGTTTATTTATACTTATATCCCACTTTTCTTCTGATCAACGGGATTCAAGCAGTTCTACATCAGATTTAAAAACAAATACAATTCTATGACTTTCAGACATTTCAAGTCAGAGGGAGTCCACAGCCTAGCTGGCACTGATGAGAAGGCCCTGTCTCTTACGATACTCCAAGACAGAATTACCCACAATGATGTAATCCGATCTTTTTTTCCCCACAGCACATTCCCTCCATTTAATTTTACAGAATGCAGTTGCTGAGGATAAAATTTTAAAGGGGAAAATCAACACGGGGAGAGACGGACTAGTTCCATCCCTTAATATGTTGTAATTCTGTAATTATGGTTTTTATGGTTTTAACTGTTTTTATGTGTTGCCGTATGCCTATTTGTGAGCCGCCCTGAGCCTGGATCGCAGGGAGGGCGGGCTATAAATTGAAATTATAAATAAATAAATAAAATATTGGCTCCAGTCCATTTGGAGCTTCACAGTTAAGTACTAGCAACCAGGAGAGCTTGGGAAACCACTAAAAGTCAATGAACTTGGTACCATATCAAAGTAACATTCTCTGCACAACATATATTAATGCCAGAGTTTGGTGAAAGCATGGACAGGTCAGATCAATGGACCAACATCCTGGGGAGAAACCTGCCTCAAGTACGTGTAAGTCTATAAATAACATAAACAAATATTTATTCCCTTGGAAAATTTATGTGCTGTCATTCCATTAAAATTTGTTCAAGGCAGCTTACAAAAGTTCTTTTTTAAAAAAGATAATATCGCTCAAAATAACAACTTGTAACAGAAGGGAGAATCCCCACTATGGGAAAAACAAAGCCAATAAGATTTTTGGTTGAAGCTGGAAAAGCCAAGGAAAGGGTTGTTGCTATTCTTGGATTTTCTTTCCCCCCATTGCTGAGGTCTCCCCCACCCCGCCACACCAAAAGGTTTATTTAAAAACCTGATTTAACCAGAGGCAGATGACCCCACAAATAGCAATCCCCTCCTTTCCATCCACTTTCTGCTCAAAGCAAGAATTCTCATTACCTGCCTCTATAGAAAATGAAAAAAAAAACTGTCAGGGGGGGGGGGGTTTTGATACAAAAGCGTAGAAGATCAAAACCCTCTCGCTTTTCACCCTGGTCAGATTTCCTTTTGAGGGCTCAGCAAATAATTCTTGGAATGTACAAAAGTCTACGGGGAGGCCGTTCCAGTGGACAAGTAGACCCCCACCGCCATCCCTTTCTCACCAGCGCACCAGTCCGCTCAGCTGGTCCCCCGCCCAGTCGATCCCTCTGTTTTCGCCCCGCCTCCTGCGACTCGCAGATCTTTTGTTCCCTCTGTCTCGCGCCGACGGCGATTCGCCGCCGCCTTTACGACTTCTAGGAGCCCCGCTTTGTTTTTATTAACGGACGCGGGCGAATGTTTTGGAAGCGCCCGTTTTAACGTTGCACAGTTTTGCCTTCGCTTATTGCGTGACTTGCTTTCCGCTTCCCATCATGTGACGGAGGCAAGCCAGATCCCTGGCAGGAGGAGAGCAGCGCGTTTGGAGTTTCGCACAAGGAGGGGAGATCCGTTTGCAGGGAGGCTGCAGAACTGCAGCGCCCATCGGTTGGGGGGGCGAAACCCTCAGCAGCTTTGAAGAGGGTCGTCTTCTTTACCCCTTTCTTGTATTGCTCAGTGATGGGATACCTAATCTATCTATCCCCACCCTAAAGCGCTCACCCCCTCCATGTTATCATCACAACAACCTTGTGAGGGAGGTTAGGCTGAGAGTACTGGGCCCCGGGTAATCCAGTGAGTTTTATTTATGACTAAATTTTATGTATGTGTGTATTCATGTATTTACATCCTGCCTTTCTTTCCACTGGGGAACCAAAGCAGCTTAGGTCATTCTCCTCTCCTCCATTTTATCCTCACAACAACCCTGTGAGGTAGGTTATTAGGTGGTGAGTGTGTGACTGGCGCAAGGTCACACAACAAGCTTCCATGGCTCGATTGAGACCTGAGTTTTGCAAGGGACATACTCAGTGTTCTCTCTAAACTGAGTTAGTGTGAGCTAGCTCACAGTTTTTCAGCCTTCAGCTCACACGTTTTTCAAACTACATTCAAACTAATGTATGCAGTAGCCAAATTGCTCTCTCACAACTTTAATGCCAGTAGCTCACAAAGTAGAATTTTTGCTCACAAGAGTCCACAGCTTAGAGGGAACACTGGACATACTAAAACTATGGACAAGCGATTGCCCATAGGGAATACATGAGTGGACAGCGATTGCCCATAGGCAATACATGAATACCAATAGAGAATGCATGATTGCCCATAGGGAATAATGGAGAGGACGCTTGCCTATAGAGGATAATAGAGAACATAATTGCCAATAGAGAATCCATGATTGCCCATAGGGAATAATGGAGAGGACGCTTGCCAACAGGGGATAACGGAGTACATAATTGCCAATAGAGAATCCATGATTGCCCATAGAGGATAATTGAGTACATAATTGCCAATAAAGAATCCATGATTGCTCATAGGGACATAATTGCCAACAGAGAATCCATGGTTGCCAAAAGGCAATATTGCCCAAGGTCATTCTGGCTCTTCCAGCTCTCGTTAGGGGCTCTTTAAAAAGTTATGGCCGCCGCCGGTGGCAGCTGCAACGGCTGCGAGGGGCCTGAAACGTTCCCCCGCCACCCTGAGCCCCAGGGTGGCAGCCTCGGACTCCTAGCAGCAAATTCCACCGCGGCTCAGGGAGGCGGCCGTTGCAGCTGCCACTGCCAGAACTTTTTAAAGAGCTCCTAACGAGAGTTGGGATAGCCAGAATGACCTCTCCCGAGAGGTGGAATTTGCCCCTAGGAGCCCAAGGCTGCCACCCCAGGGCTTAGGGAGGCAGGGAAACGTTTTGCCCCACTGCGGCTGTTGCTGCGGGCACCGACAGTGGTGGCAGCCATAATTTTTTTAAGAGCCCCTAACGAGGGCTGGGGGAGCCAGAATGACCTCTCGTGAGTGCAACGCTGCTCAGACATCACACGCAAGAGGTGGAATTTGCCCCTAGGAGTCCAAGGCCATCACCCTGGGGCTCAGGGAGGCGGGGGGACATTTTGCCCCCCCCCTGCGGCGGCTGCCGCCCTAACTTTTTAAAGAGCCCCTCATGGATCAGAGCTGGGAGGTCACACGCGAGAGGTCACTCTGGCTCCCCCTAATGAGAGCTGGGGGTGCCGGAATGACCTTGGGCAATATTGCCTTTTGGCAATCATGGATTCTCTGTTGGCAATTATGTCCCTATGAGCAATCATTGATTCTCTATTGGCAATTATGTACTCAATTATCCTCTATGGGCAAGCGTCCTCTCCATTATTCCTTATGGGCAGGCATGGATTCCTTATTGGCATTATGGATTCTCTATTGGCAATTATGTTCTCTATTATCCTCTATAGGCAAGCGTCCTCTCCATTATTCCCTATGGACAGTCATGGATTCCTTATTGTGCACTATCCCCTCTCGGCAAGCGTCCTCTCCATTATTCTTTATGGGCAATCATGGATTCTCTATTGGCTCTTATGGATTCTCTATTGGCAATTATGTACTCCATTATCCCCTATGGGCAAGCCTACTCTTCATTATTCCCTATGGGCAATCATGCATTCTCTATCTGCATTCATGTATTGCCTGTGGGCAATCGCTGTCCACTCATGTATTCCCTATGGGCAATCGCTTGTCCTTAGTTTTAGTACGTCCCATCGAAGTGAGCCAGGGGGCCATCATGATGTTAGAAGGTAGAAAATATCACTGAAGAGCCAGCAACACACCTGGCTTGCTAATAGAGGAAAGGTAACAAATGTAGAACTTGCCTTTCTTGTGATGGCTAACCAGAACTTGGTGCTGAAAGCTACTTCTTAAGTTCATCAAGAAATTCTGCAAGGGCCCAGAAATTGTTACAATGAGTTGCTTTGCTACAAAAGCCACCAGTCTAGTGCAGGTATTTTAGGGCTCAGCTACCAAGGTAGTTGCCAAGATGTGCCAAGGGATTCCATTCTGCATTTGGGTGATCTGGTCTAGATATGAATAGAATGATTGCCTTGTCATCCCTGGATGATGCAGACTGTATGGGCAAAGTGGTTCTTTCTAATGCTGAGGTTACACAAAGTTGGAACTCACATGCTTGAAGCATGGAATGGACTGAAGATGTATTTCCTGCCTCTTGAAACTCTAAGCACTGAAGCAGAATGAGCACAGAATTGACTATAAAACCTAGAAGTACAAGCAGTTTTTTGTCCTTGGAAGTATGCCCTTGAACTACATTGCAAATTCAGCATGAAGATGGAGGATGAAGACCCTGGTTCACCTTGCACAGTGACCTTTTGGGAATGTCCCCGGAGACTGCTGTGAAACTTTAATGGCAAAATGATACAGAAGTCTTGGACAGCCTAGAAAACTTTATGCCTCTGAGCATCGTGGATTAGCTTTGAAGCATCCCTGGATGGAACACCTTTTGAAACAAATGTGACAAAAGGCTGCATTGTTCTATGCCACAGTGCTGATGAATAAAGTGATCAAAAATCCCCTTGATGGACCTATTATTAAAAAAAAATGGTTCCATGTTCCTTAATCCCATATCAAAGCTGCAGGTGTTGGCCAAAGTGATTGCTTACCTTGGAGTCATCTGGAGAGCATACAGAGGAAGCTGGTCAACTGATGGATCACTTTTCAATGTCGTAAAACAGGTTCAAGGTGAAAAGATATTTATTTAGTTCTTGTGGATCCCCTAACCCAAGAACTAAAGAAATATTTTCAGGATCCACTGCTAGGTTGGCAGGAGCTGGAACTAGAGACAGGAGCTCACCCTGTCTTGCGGCACCCGGGTCTTAGTTTTACTACGTCCCAAAATGCACGTGTGAAGGCAGATCTATACGACAAGCCTCTCAGACAAAAATCGGTAACAAGCACGCGAGCCCAAAAACCACCTCGACTGTTTTTTCCCCCTTTCCAAATGCTCCACACTTAACATTGTTCTCGCCCAATGTCTGAGCGCCCTTCCCACGGAAGTTGCGTCCCAATCACGTGCTGGCGAGTGCGGCGAATCGCATTGTTCTTCCGTAGACGTGTAACCCTTTCAAGCAAGTATCTGGCGGCGGCGTTCTGTTTCTTGCTGTGCTTTTGTGGCCCCTCGTTGCAGTCGGAGTTCTACTGACCGGCCTCCCGTACGTAAAGGACGAGGGCTCCCGGGGTGGGGGGGTTGGAGGGGTATGCTTTGCATGAATGGTTGAGTGAGCGGCTGCAGCCGGAGCTCAGCGTGGCGGGGGCGGATTTACGGCTGGTTCCCTTTTGCTGTCGCCTCTGAGCTGCTCGCTTGCATTGGGGCCAGAAGCTTTAGCGGGGATTGCTTTCCTTGCAGGGCCTTAGTCGGCGCTAAGAAAGGCACAAGAGGTTGGCTGGGAAAGGGCAAAGGCGGGGGGACGACGACGCACACGCACACACATTCTGTTTCTGCTCTCCTGGCCTGAGCACCACATCTAGCACTTGCCCCCTTCCGGAAACGTGCCGCGTTCCCGTAGTAAGCCACGTGTTTCGTGCTGTGAAAGGGACCGGGGTACTCAGAGGAGCCCTGCGGGAGACTGGAGGACGCGGGATCATGGCTACGGGTTGATTACTGCTTGGAGAAAGCTGTGAGTTCAGATTTTTATACTCTCATAGGGCCAGGCATTCCCTCTCAGCCTAATCTCCGAGGTAGATCAAGATGAGTAGCCGTGTTAGTTGGTCTGTCGCAGTAGAAAAGAGACAGAATCCAGGAGCACCTTAAAGACCAGCAAAATTTCCTTTTGTGTGTCCTGAATGTAGTGCCCTTCAGCCTCATTGGATGCCCTCGAGTTCTAGTATTTTGGGAGAGCTACAAAAAGTTCTTTCTGTCCACTCTGTATACCCCGTGTATAAATTTATAAACCTGTATCATGTCCCCTTTAGCAGTTTTCTAAACTGAAAGCTCCCAGACTTTTCAGGCTTTCCTCATAGGAAAGTTCCTCCAACCCCCTAATCATCTCGGTTGCCCTCTTCTGTACCTTTTCCAGCTCTGCAGTGGCCTTTTTGAGATATGGTGCAAGATTGGGCTAGCCGGGGTTATCCGGATCGGGGCACAGATGACCCAACAACTCACAATTAGTTGGTGTGTACCAAGCCTGGATTTCAACCTATGCTTTTAGCTGGTTTTTCAGTCATGGCTTCTGTTAGTTGTGGCTTGATGTGACATCTGAATTCACAGATCTTCATTTTTCAAGTCACACTGGCCGTAGAGATGGCAGCATGGGGCCATCTCCATCCAGGGTATAGATGGGAGAGGAGATAAGAAGCGAACCAGGGTTTATGCACCAATTGCGGTTTTATTGCTTGTATTTGGAAAGCTAACTAGAGTTTGGAATGCTGTGGGGGGTATTGCTCATGATGTCCTAATTTTGTTCCAGGATACAATACCTGAGTGCTAGAATATGAGGAGAATTGTTGGCGGGAAAAGATCTGAACAAGCGGGCAATGGTGGATTGATTGCTAGAAGGATCTGAAGGGAAATGTTTCCAGAGCCCTGAGATGCCAAAGATGCCTGAAATTCAGCTGGATACAAAAAGTTATTTACATGAAGTTGTAGAGAATAAACCCAAACTAGCCTTGTTTTGAGATGGAAATACTGGAAGTTCAGAGTTACCTGAAAGATTCCTGAGGCACAAAAGTCCACCGATGGACTGTGAAAATGGCTCCCGTCAGAGCACTGACTTGGTTGAGAATCCACAAATGGCAGAAAAAGCATACATTTGTTCATATTGTGGGCAGACGTTCAAAGGAACTTCCGCCTTGATGGCACATGAGAGGTCTCACATAGCAGAGAAAGTATATAAGTGCTCGCAGTGCGAGAGACCGTATGCCTGTCGTTTTGACCTCCTACGACATGAGAAGAACCATGCGGGAGAGAACCCACATCAGTGTGCTTCAAATTGTGGCAAGTGCTTCCATCAGAACACCCCCATGCCCCTGTGCCAGGAAATCTGTCCGGCAGAGAAGGTAAGCAATTGCCCTGAGTGTGGGAAAAGCTTTGGCAGCAAATGGCAGCTCCTTCAGCACAAGGAAACCTACAGGAGGGCAGAACAGAACGAGTGCTCAGAATGTGGCAACAGGTACAAACTTCCCTCACAAGACACTTGAAATCCACACTGAGGAGAAGCCTTCTGCGAGCTATGCTCTAAGCTTGGGCCCCCCATTTGTATGGGGTCTAAGCAGTGTTCTCTCTAAGCTGAGTTAGTGTGAGCTAGCTCACAGTTTTTTAGCTTCTGGTTCACACATTTTTGTCTTAGCTCAGGAAGGATGGCTCCAGAGCAAACTGATTTATGCAGTAGCCAAATCACTCATTCACAACGACTTGGCAACAGTGATCCATGCAATGGTCACCTCGAGACTAGACTACTGTAATGCTCTCTACGTGGGGCTGCCCTTGTCACAAATCCGAAAGCTGCAGCTAATGCAAATTGCAGCAGCCAGGCTTCTGGTGGGTCTTCCTATGCGGGAGCACATTCAGTCTGTGCTAAAGGCATTACATTGGCTGCCGATAGCATTTCGAGTTCACTTCAAGGTGCTGGTTCTTACCTTTAAAGCCCTATATGGTCAGGGGCCAACATACCTGAGGGACTGCCTTTTCCCATATGTACCCCAGCGAGCACTGCATTCAGGGTCACAAAATCAATTGACCCTCCCAGGCCCTAAAGATGTCAGACTGGCAACAACCAGGGCCAGGGCAGCTGGGGCCAGAGACGGGAGCTCACTCCATCACGCAGCACTCGGGTCTCGAACTCCCGAGCTACCAACCTTCTGCTCTGCAGCTCAGCATCTTAACCTCCGAGCCACCATGGCCCCATATCATTCTATATATACGGACACAAACACAAAACCATAGCTCCATTTGAAACAACTCAGTTATAATTTTCACATATGAAAGATGGTGATTCTCAAACAGTGTTCCTAGGGACCCAGAGATTATATGTGTTGTAAAATAGTCAAACGTGTTTAATACTCAGACTATCAATGGATCTTGCTCTATTGGAAAGAAGAGATTTCTTTGCTTTTAAAAACCTTTATTTCTAAGGGGAAAAGGTACACAGGATAACTACAAATAAACATAACACTAACAGCTACATTTTCTAAGCTGTCTATGGTCAAACCTAACACAGAGATAATGGAGAATCTGCCCTTCTTCTCGACCCTTAGAAAGGAAGTCACCTGGAGCAAACAACCAATCACTTATCACAACAGAAGTTACTTTTCCTGGGCTAATTCCCCATAGGCTCAATGCCAGGTATCCCTTCCAGGTCAGTCTAAACAATAGCAATACTAGGCAAACAAGTTAACCCTATAATGACTGGATTGTCAGACCTTGTAAACACATGCATTTCCAACAATATGGACAGCAGATAAAACCAAAAAAGGGCATTCCTATCTAACATGGTGCCCTACAAATAGAGCCAGTGTAGTGTAGTGGTTAGAGCATAGGACTAGGAACCGAGAAGACCAAGGTCAAATCCCCACTCTGTCATGAAGCTCTCTGGGTGATTTTAGACCAAACAAAATGAAAGTCCAGTGGTGCCTTAGACATTAGCCACTTTTATTTTAGTATGAGCGCTCATGATGAGTCACAGCTTGCTTCCTCAGATATATGGAGGGAAACAAACGGGAATTCTATTTAACAGGAAGAATATAAGCGAGGTGGGAAGATGAGGCAGAGCACGCGAATTCCATCCTGAGGGAGTTTTTCCATCTGGATCGTAGGCCAGTCTCTTTCTTTCTCTAGCCTACCTCACAGGAATCGTAATTAAAAAGATAAAATGCAGGAGGGGAGGACAATGTTGTAAACAGTGTTCCCTCTAAGCTGAGTTGGTGTGAGCTAGCTCACAGTTTTTTAGCCTCTGGCTCACACATTTTTGCCTTAGCTCAGGAAGGATGGCTCCAGAGCAAACGAATTTATCGCTCACTCATGACTTAAATGTCAGTGGCTCACAAAGTAGAAGTTTTGCTCACAAGGCTCCATAGCTTAGAGGGAGCATTGGATATAAGTCCTCTGGTTAAGCAGGCGTGAGGGATATTTTTAGCCAGGATCACATGAGAGCAGCTTCACCCATTTTGGTACCATTCCTGAAGGGGTGGCCACAATAACAAAATTTGAAAGGTGACTTGTGGGCCCCTTCAGGGCTGTGACAGATTTATTGTAATATAATAGAAAGTAGGATCTGCCTCAGGAAAACTTACTGCTACGATAAATCTGCCAGGATTGTTCACACGTACCAAACAATGAAGTGGGAGCACTACTAGTACCGGGGG